TTTTTCCAGCCAGTCCTTTGATGAATAAAAAGTACAAAAGAAAAAGAAATCAATATATCAACTACAAAAACAAGAGAAGAAAAATTTGCAAAAATATCAAGATCTACCATGTTAGCATGCCACTATGGAAATGTAGGCCAAATGATGTTCACTTAATTTTACATTCTTCAGGCATAACTGTTTTCTGCATTTAAAGGGCAATATGCATAAGAATGCCTCTATTTCTATTCATTTTACTCTGGTTTCAGTTTTGTTTACTCCAATAAAAATTACATATAAAATTCTACAATAGAATATAACATAAAAGGTAATCAGACTAAGAAACTCGAATTTACTTGATATCTGCCTCAATATAGTGGACAGACAAAATAAGGCAAATACAAAATTCTTCCTTTATCTGAAACTCGCTAAAGTTGGCCTTGACCTCTCTCTCCATAGCCAATTCAGCTATTGACTGCGCAAACTTCTCAGTCTCCGCATCGTCAATATCAACACAAACCAATTGCTCTCCACAACAGCAGCACCGCCCACTCGGCTCCACAGTCCCCCTCCTTACGGCCCACTTCCCCTCACCGAGCCAACCCAAGCCATGCCAACCCCCACCATTCCTCAAAATAGCATCTTTCACATAATCCACATGATGCTGCACCCCAGCACCAACCTCACTTCCCTTACCAAAAAACCAATCCTCCAAAATCTTTGCCGTCTCCTCACTGACCGACCTCACACAACACCTCAACTTCTTCAAGTAGTCGTACACCCTCTCTCCTCTACCCGTATCCGCACTTACCTTCAATAACGCTGCAATCTCAGGCTCCTCTAAGCTCACATTAATTAGACTTATATGATCCTCCACCTTGTACGCCTTATCAGCCTCTAACTTCTTGCAGAAACACAGCAATGCCGCCTCAAAAGTGCGCTGGCGTGGAGTCAGACCGTAATCAACCATACTCCTGACAATGTCGAAGGCAGAATCACCATCGCCCTTGGCTGCAGCTAAACGTGCAACCGCAGTAATGGAGGCTTCATTGGGATGGATTTTCAGGGAGAGCATATGATCAAAAATTCGAAGCCCATGGGATAAAGCAAGTAACTTTCCATCCGGATCGGCAACAGAAGCTGAGCAGAGGTAGAGGAGGGTAAAGGAAGTAAAATTTGACTTTGTCAAAAATCCCCACGAGATTCTTATTCCGTCATTTGCTGGGATAGAGACAGGGAGGGATTTCTCGACCAAAAATGGTCCTGGTTGCCATCCCCACCCTAAATAAATATATTGTTAAATCTTCATTTTTGTCTATTGTACGAATTCTTGGTATTTAAACTAAAGAAATCTTTGATTTGTCTCTAAATTATTATACGGATTAAATTTGGTCCTTATTGTTTATTATTTGGCGTAAGTTGATTCTTAAATTATTGTACAGACCATCAATTTAGTATTTACTATTTACAATTTCATCCTAATTTGGTTTCTGAGTTATTATGTAACAGAAGGACCAAGTTGAGGCTAAATTGATAAATAGTAAGGATCAAATTGAGAATTCGTACAATACTTTAGGGACTAACTTAAGGGTTCATATAATAATTTAGGGACCAACTCAGGATTCATAAAATAGTTCAAGGATCAAATCAAAATTTTCTTTATTTCAAGGACCGTCCGTACAATAATTCAGAGAATAAAATAGGAGTTTAACCTAAATATATTTGTTGCAACCATTC